AACTACTGAACCAGCAACCAAAGGTGTTAATGTCTAACTTCAACCATTTATATTATCAATTAACAGTTAGCAATATATTTTATCAATATGGAAGTAAACTGAATTATGTTTCGATATGCTACACATTATTAAGTTATTTTTTATTGTTAAAATGTTTTGTGAATCCGGTTATTGTCTCTAAGATATCATCAAACTTTTCAGACAAATAATATGTAGTAAATTTTTTAAGGCATGTGTATTTTCGGAAATTGTGAGCTGTCTGAATATAATCATCAAAGCCTGATGAGCAACACCACATGATATAGTTTACAAATTAACCATCATGATTCCCGACCGTTGTTACTACGTTGACGTAGTGGTCGAGCTCGCCTATCTTAATGAACCAATCGAGCTATACTGCCTGTAACAATCGTTCCTCAAGGTCCTATCATGTCAGATAGGTCGATTGAAGAACGGTAAGACTAAAAGCAGCAAAACCAAGGTCCGAAGGCGAAGTCGTACTGCTGACTGTACAGAGGTGTGACAGCAGTAAGGTGTTTCCTTCAGACAACCAGCATGGCAGCGATGCTGCCTTCCCACAAGGAGGGGTGGGGTTAGAAAAGGTCGACCCTAAAAATGCACACCTCGCCTTATCCCACGAATATCCGTCTCCGGCAGTAAGGTGTCACGCTCCCAGGTCACTAAGACCACCTCTAATCTAATTTCCTTTTCAGGTACCTCCAGGAAAATCCTTCCATGGTGTGGGCAATCGGGAAGTAATAACCGCCCTCATACCTGTAACAGCACTCAAGACCACTGTATTCATAATCAAACTCTAAACTTCTTTTTTCGGCTTCCCACTCAAGTGTCACCATAGCCAACGATTCTAGTGCTCAAAACACTGTCTCAGGTCTACTGAAACCTCGCTCCACACTACACATTGGAGCCTTCAATGTACGCACCCTATGTCAAATCGGTCAGCAGACCTACTTGGCTGAGACTCTAGAAAGTGGTACTATTTATGTATGCTGCGTAGACAACTTCACTCAACTTGGAAGTTTTGGTGTCCGACGAAATCTCAACATGGATTCGAAAAGTTCGTTCGGCTCTTGCAAACTTACGTGACCTATTTCGAAGGCGAGATATCCGCCTATCAATTAAGGGACGAGTATACTGTGCAGCAGTTTGTTCTATTCTACTTTACGGCTGCGAGACGTGGCCATTGAGGGTAGAAGATACTCGTAAGCAGTTGATGAGGTTGTTAATCTTCATCGACCGAGATGGTTGGGCCACGTGTTACGTATGCCTGAACACCGATTACCACGACACGCAATCCTGATTAGGGTTTGGGATATTTGGAAGAAAATTAGGGCTGCCAAACCAAAACGTGGCATCAGTCTTTGAAGTCACTAACTTCTAGTCTTAGCCATGTAGGTAGATGCAGACTATTTGGTCGGGGTTCATGTGACTATCGTAAACAATGGTTGGAGACTCTGGGTGACATGGCTCAGAATCGATCACAATGGCGTTGGTGTATACACTCCATGTCTTCCCTTAAACTAAGAGATTAAAATCACTTTATATCTTTCTCTCTACGAACTAATTCTGTCTTCCCGGACTATGTCCTTATATGCAATCTTTCTTTTATATCTTACCACCACTGAATTAACTACTTCTATGGCTTTTGTGTTCATCTTGGTGTGTTAATTAGATATGGGAACTTGAACCGATGCATATATGTATATGTGCCTGGTCCTACGTTGTAGCTGACTGACTGAACCATTATTATTTAGATTCATTCACTATTATGCAACGGATTATTAGTTAAGATAATTAGTTTTCAAATTGTAAGTTATAAGCTCTAACGCTCCATATCTAATTTGGCTGGAACAGCCGTTTAATATCACTATCTGTTATAAAAATAGTATGACTTAAATAATTAATTCTCAATCATTTTGTTATTCTGTTACTGATTTGCCTCATATTTATTTTCATTTTTCCATTTCCTTGTCTTTTCGTATTGTTTAATAAACGTGATAGCTCAGAACGTTCTATTGTTATAATGTATTCTACGGTTGTCTATCACTATAGTATGAAATGCCTTCTCATTATACTAGTTATTAAGTAATTACTATAACTTTTTTCTAAAACTTGATATTCGATTGCAGTTTCGTGTATTAAGCTATTATATTAGGCTATATATTTTTATTTGAGAACTAGTGGTACTACTTGAATGTCTAAACTGGTATGAGTTTAGCAGGGTTCGAACCAGTAACCTAGTTGAAATTTAACTGTTTCAATTACTTTATAATTGCTGCTCTGAATATAGTCCATTATACATTCACTGGAAGACCTGAAGGACGCGGGTTCGAACCGTGTTTGGGTCACCGATGTTCACTTCTGAGGAGTTTCATGCTAGCACAAAACAGCTACCCAGTACTCTCTGGTTATGTTTTAATATAAAGGAAGTGCTTTAAGAGCATTTTCTTTATCGGCTAAAATCAACCAGTGAATTTTCAGTATCCTAATCATGATTAAAAACCTTCACCAATGCGAAATTTTGATACTGTCTGGATCATTAAACATGTGATCATACATTTAATAATAACTTTATAACTTAGCCAATGGTAAGTATCACTTTAAGCTTAACTCAATTTGAGATTATTAATGAAGTTATTATCTTCAAGACCCATCTTCACTGATATATTAACTTTTTTTTCACAAGTTGATAATTTTTATCTAAAACTTACGTATGAGAAAAGAGGAAAGATTGTTTAAAATGAGTCCAATTATGTAGTTCTTGACTGTTGCTAGTCCTCTACGAATGATATTATTCTGCATCGGAAACTATTTCCCAATCAACCACATCTTAAATTGTTGGAGAATAAGCGGGGCCCACATTTTCATATATATATATATATATATTATAGGGATACGTGTATGGAAGATCTTTCTAAGTAAAAATTACAATTAAATATACATATTTTCATGTTTCTAAATAATCTTATATAATTTTAGTTCAGAAAAAACAAGATGTAATCAGATATCATCATTATTATCATAGTATCATGTAATGGGAATAGTTATTTTAGAATATTCATGTGGTTAACTCGTGTGATAAATATGATATTTGAAAAAAGAATTACTATTGATCTATTATCAGCTGATTATATTATTACATTGAATATCCATTAGAAGTAGTATAGTAATTTCTATTTATTATGGTCTGTACATTATTATATACTATTTTATGCTAATAATGACAGTTTTTAAAATGTGGAAAGTTTTTCTTGTTATGTATATTGTTGATTATATTTTAATGAAACAATAGTTTAAAAGGTTAAAACCATTTGATATTTTATTGATAGATTCAAATCTTGCTATATTTCATTTTAGGCAGTTGAGTGGCATAAATAGTTTCTACAAATGTACTGATGAGAAAGAAAGACTTGGCAAATTAGCTACATTATTCACTGTTGGTTATTTGTCAACTGTATATGTCACTATATGTGTTAGTGAATGTTACAACTTAGTAGTTTACTAGTTAGGACTCTAGGATATTGTGGCATTAATATATATATATATATATATATATATATATATATATATATATATATATATATATATATATATATATATATATATATAACTCTCCGAAACTTGCAATTGACCTCACCTAATCAATTATGGACGAAGACGACTTACCCTTCGTACATCTGGAGACGTCATCCCTACTTATCGTGCTCTGGTTAACGTAAATGCAGTACTAAGCCCCGTAGTACAACAGTCGCTTCTGAGATATATTTCATTAGACAGTCGCTTGTGTGCTTTTTAGATCAACAGAACCTTTAAAAACTTGAACAGATTAAGATACACATCGTTAACCTTCATCTCAGTATACCCTTTCACTCACTCCCTTTTGACAAAAGTAAGAAATGAAATTTTTATGAAGCTTTACATCCGTTTTAAAACCAGTTAAATCCTCAGACAGTAATCGTAGAAGATTATTATGATGGTCAATTGGTTAGGGTAAATGAAGCTAGAAAATAATTAGATGTACCTTTTAGTGTCCCGGATCACCGAACAGATAAAAAGAAGGGCATGTTGAAACTATTCTCAGGTAATAATTTGTTTCTAGCAAAATCATTGTCAAGAATAAAGAGAAATATTTAACATGATTAACCATAGAATTGACACGAATAAACCATATTTACATCAACTATCGCTTGAGGGGCTCTGTAGGAGAACCCCGCTTGTTCTGGAGCTTATATTTAGACTCGGATCGTGTTGTGGTGTGGGCATGCGTCTTACCGAAAGACTCTAGTGTTCATCTTGATTATGTGAAGATCAAGAGTGTATTTCAAAAACAAATAAAGAGACGTTTGGTCTAGAATAATGTTAAGCATGGTAAAATATCAAAACAGCTATGAAAACAGCTGTGATATGATTTTGAGTTGTTGGTGAAAAAAACAAAAGAAATGGGACAGGCTGATTGGATAGATAATAGTTGGTAACTGATTAGATATATCAGGACGCAGGTGTTATAGAATCAGTTGTTAGTGCAACGATCTCAGTAGAAGCATATACTTTGGTCCACTGTCAGGCTGGAAAATTGGGACGATGGGTGAAACTTTCCGAAAAACAGCTCAGCTAACTTCAACTACTATGTGGTTAACCACTTTCCAAACAATCTGAATGAGAAATTGAGGTAAGCCTATTGACTCAACGAATTTGGAAAGGACCAGGTAGATTAACTTCAAAGCTTCCGGTTTAAGTTGTTAGACTGACTGCGACACTAGTTAGGATCTTGAAACTAGATATAATTCTATCTGACAGGTCTTCTGAGTCTATAATCAAAGACTGAAGTCCTCATACAATAACCATAGATGAGCCAGTCTGACTGATGTGCCATTTAAAAAATAATAGTGACTTTTTTTTCCAAAAAATTAAAATTGCTGATTTTTCTTATGTTTTCCATTCTTTTTCGTCCATAAAATAAAAAAATATGTGCATATATATAGGCTGTTGCTTTGAAGAACACAAATATTACAGAATTAGAGTCAGAGGGATGTACGTGTGATCGAGCTGATAATCCTTATCGTAATCAACTTTGGACAAATACATATGGAAATGGTGAAAGATTAGATTACATATTTTATCGTTCTGGGCCATCAATAATAGATTCATTTCATATACCATGTAAGATAATGATGGTGATGATATTATTGTTATTGGATTGATTTATCCTTTTTTGGTTTTATATCCCTTTAAATAATGTTGATTGATTAGTCACTTGGTTCCATCATCATTACCATCGTTTTTTTTCTGATGAAACTGACTTACGAACACACCGTCTCATAGACCTCTTCACTCTGCATTATTCGCCAATACTAATAGGTATAAGAAGTAAGTAGTTGTTCATTGTATGGAACGAAACAGTTTTATGCGATCAGTATTAAATTGGTCCGTAAGAACTTCATTAGTTGAGATCCTAGAGATTATGTCGTTCATTAGTATCTAGGTAGAAAAAGAAAATAACCTCAATTTTCTTTTTGTTTTACACTACATTCTTCATAAAAGTAGGATGAACCTTTCTAATCTAGAATATTCTAGCTTAAAATGTAAGGTGGTCGATTAGAAAACTTGGAGCAAAGTTTAGTGCTATTTAGCACTTTTCAGGATCTTAAACCTCATCATAGTGCATACAATATCGAGCTACTCAGACTAGTAACCACATTGCAACTTGATGGGCAGCATTCATAACCAAAATGTCACTGTATGAACACTTGTAATTGCACAATAACTTCAGAGTTTAGAATGTCTTTTTTGTTACAATAAATCAATATATTTTGAGAGATCTAGTTATATGATGTTTCTTTTTTGTAAATCTGGCATAAAGAATGAAAGATCAAGTAGCAGGCAATCTACATACTACTCATTTACACCATGGTCTTCACCAGCTTCTTTATCATCTTAATATCATCACAATACTAAGTTCCTTATGAATCGGTTTCGGTATTTAGAACTGCCCTCTTGTTTACCAGAATAATTTATTTGTGTGCAACTGAAAACATCTTAGATATTTACTAGTCACTAGCTTTCCATTGGAGTTTTAAGATTACCAGTCGGACTACAAAATTATTGTGAACATTGACCAAGTTTGGAGGTGAATCAGTTGAATAATTGTCACTTTTTATGTTTAGAATTAACTAAAGTTGGAAATGTGAATAGGTTTAGTGATATTTGTAAGGTATTTTCCTTGAAAATTTCGCTAACAATCATGCCTTTCTTCTATGTAGGCCGAATTCAGGGTACTAGGGAAAATAAAAAATCGGTTGAGTTTGTTAAACTCAATCAAGTGAGGTAGCATGAATGTTGTATTACTTATGTCTAACCATGGTTTACCTCGACGTGCGACGTTTACTGATGTCAGAGTAAACTGGAAGAAATCTAGGGACACCAAAACCACGACATGGTATCAGTTTGTGATTTGTGTTGGTAGGTACAGATTCCCTACTTGTGGTCCACTAGACTATCTGGCCTAATGGTTGAAAATGTTACAAATTCACTCTCTATCTTCTCTTAGATTTCAAGCTCTAAGATTACCTTAATTTTTAATTTCTCATTCTTAAATCTTACTGTTTATGTCTTATCTTTTCTGTCACCATTGTTACTCTTACTATTCCCACCATTGTGACATTTATTTTGATAATTTATATAGTGTGGCAACTTCAACCGAAACAGGTTCTATAGTGTTTATGACTGATATAGAATGTTAAATATTCAAGTCTTTTGAAGTTGAAAAATTTAACATATTGACATAAGTAGTATTTTACGCTAGTCAGGAATAGAATGTCTGGCAGTAGAAGATCGAGGAGGAAAAAAAGCAGGGACAGGAAGCAATTGATGTGAAAATGAAGGGATTCCGAAATCTGAGACAATTAGTGAACACTTTGCAAATGAATTATTTACTGTATGGTTTACAGATTTTAGGAAGAAATCACAATTAACCTAATACATGCGTAATTACTATTTTCGGATATCCTTAAAAATAGTATTTGCGTAGAAAAATAGATTATATATTTAAAACAATTCGACGTGTGGCATGAAATAACCAAAATCAAATTCAACACTATTTTTATCCACATGAAGATAATTATTATGAATTCTTTTTTTGGAAGAAAAATATGTTACGCTGGTTTTTTGTGGTTCTAAATCTGTCAATTAATTTTTCATAATCTCTATACATATACATATGTATATATGAGTATGAATACATTTTATAAATCTCATTTAGATGCTACCTACGTAAGTAGTTTTTAGGTGTGTATTTCAATAAAAAGAAATAGTAGTGTAAGTAATATGAATTTCAGTTTTTAATTGAGATCATGAACTGATGAATGTTAGACCACCATTGAAAATCTAGAAACACTAGGTGGTCGTTTCATCCTAGTATGGGACACCTCAGTAGTGCTCATCTACGATCCATGTTAGTAACTGAAAACTACCTGACTTAATGTTCAAGAAAATGATTATGGTCAGTAATTAAACATGACCTAGAATCGGTCACAGTGACACTCTTAATCGTCTTCTAGATCTTGAGTTTCAATATTACGTTATGTGTATCGTCTCATTTCTTTTTTTTTTTTTTTGAAGTGTATTATCCAATTTTAGTCATTAATATTACTATTATTCGGACTGCTTTTTTATTCATTTTGTTAATTTTATTTCATTATATTAATTTGGTATTAGAACTTGTGGTAATGTGCATTTGTGTCAAGCCCAATATTGATTATAACTGATTGAATTAAGTGTACAGTGTAAGTATAGTGTTTCATCACAGACTAATTTCATTTAGGGTGAACTATTGATGTTAGGATATTATTTTTCTAACAATTGAATACTTTTTGTTTGGCGATTCCGAATGTACTTATTGGTTAGTAATCGAACGGTCGACGCTTCGTATTGCACTAATATATCACATAGTTCTGATAATCTTCGTCTTCTTATTACGCTATCGAAATTTTTAATGTACCATCTGAAACCTCTCGTCAGTCCACAATTACAATCCCTCCCTTAAATTTTCCAACACTTCTCCATTTGATGTTAGTTTGAGAATGAAGAGATTGCTACATAATTGATCCTTTCTGCCAATATTTTAGTTGTAAAACAAATCTATATATAATAGACAACTTTCAATTATCTTTTTGTGAACTATACATTTTAAGAAAGTTGTTTTTTTGTTTGCTTTCTAAACAAAAATATTTTAATATCAGAAGGGGTTTTGTGGATATTATAGTAATCTTAATAGTTGAGTTCATGAGTCAATTGAAGCTAGACCACCATGGAAAACCTGGAAGCACTGGACGGTCTTTTGTCCTATTGTCGGATTTCTCAGCATTGTACATCCACTATCCCATCTTGTGAGATCGTGGATCGTGGACGCACACTGCTGTGTAGTCGCACAATAGGACGAAACGGCCGTCCATTGCTTTCAGATTTTCCATGATGGTCTAACTTCAATTGATTCATGATCTCAACTATTAAAAATACTATCTCTTATACTATTATATAGTCTGAAGAATGTCAATTGCATAAGCAGATAAGAATTATCAGATATGCTTAATTCTTTTATAAAATACTTTATCCTCTAAACACAAATCAGCTTAAAATAGATTTAGAATGTATAATACATTTTTTAAATTAGTAACTATGAGATTAAAAATCAGTTAAGCATAAAAAAATCATAATGTTTAAGTTCAAAATAAAAGATTATTGTAAAACTGAAACTGAAATTTTTTTAAAGTTATCACTGATAAATTCTACCTTCATTTTCTAATTGATTACTCAATATATCAGGTTTTTTTAAATCTACGGTGTTACTTAGTGATATATGCTCCCAAATGTCCTGGTATGGCCGGGAGTGGGGGGGGCCCTCACTCCCTCTCGAAATGCTATCACACGGCCACGCGTATACAGCCTCTTTCAGGGAAGTCCTATTCATTGCCTTCTCGTGACGGGGGTGTTGTTTGCGAAATTGAGAAGACAAAAAGCGAATGGTCAACGCTTTACCGGGTTGGTGGATATGGAGGACCCACCTAGGAGAGTTGGAAAACCCTGACTCTAAACCAATGGTGCACATGGACTCCAGTATCCTGAAAGAACAAATGGCGTATGAACCAATTGTTGGTCATTGACTACCAAGGGACTACATCTCCTTATGTTGCTCCACTGTCTTGTGGGTCAAACCTTTAGGTCGAGGGCTCCGAGTGTGACTCCCCAAGAAAACCACCTACTTCGGTCTGGGCACCCGGGCAGTACCACAGGCCACACACAAATAGAATGAAAAAGTGATATATTTATACATATATAATCTGTCTAAATAATATGAATTAATTAAAAAATGAATTTAATTATTTAAATAATTTCACTTTATGAAATAAACAATTTCGTGGAGAAAAAAATCGGAACAAACAAATACAGTACGAACTGAACTTTTATTTATCAGAGAACAAAAAATAACACATTTTTCATTTATATTTACATTTAGTTACTGAGATGCTTAAAGTTTAATGTTGTAGAGGTTAATTTCCCCTATATCTGACTCCAATAAATAGTATCCCGTTAACTGAGTATTTAATGCAGGCTAAATCTCTTAGTAGAATTATGGATTTACTCGAGATTATTCAAATGCCTGAACACCAGTTATAGAGATAGTTTATTATTAAAGATTGGTAAAATCCGCAAACGTATAGGAAGCAAGCACACAGGGAAACTAAGAGTGTGTTTGTGTGAGAGTGTTAAAAATTCATATATATTTATGAGTGTTAATCGATTGTGGATAAATTATTGATTGTCTGTGTATTACAACCAATCAGAGAATAGATTAGAAACTGATGTGCAGTTATGTGCTCAATCAGAATCACACAGAAAATTACATTATGGATTAAGTGTTTAAATTCCAATGGGTAGATAAATAATGCAGTAATTCAATGGGCTTACTACAATGTATTAAGTCATGTTAATCTGTATGTTATTCTAGAATTTTTACACTTTTATTATTGATTTGATATCAGTAACATTTGGATAAATTATATTATAATAATGCTTTAAAATATCTAGTGGTTTAGTGTTACAAAAGGGAATACACATTTTGAAATTTTTTTTATATGTGTAACTCAGTGATCACGTTTTGAACTGTGAAAGTGAGTGACACTGATTTGAATCTATCATAATGCATCATTTGCCTCAAGATTGCAGATACGCCTTCATAATGAGTCTCAAACAGCATAGTATCCATGTTCACAGTTTACTGTTAACTACCTTTGATCCTATAATATGAAATAAGTCTCATGTTTAATTGTTTTGTATCACTTCAATAACTTTATAATAAAATGTGTGTTTTTATTGTATATATGAATATTCATTTATATTAGAACAAATAGTATTGTATATGTTTATACATTTCTTGAACAATTATATATCGTAGTAATAAAATATTTACTTTATTCTAATCATCATTAATAAAGAAGTTAAAATATTTTATGAATTGTCATTCTACTTAATTTCTGTTTTACTATAGCCTATGCTAAACTTGTCTGTGATTCGTGTTGGTTAGATATGCGTAAAGTACCTGACGACCCTTATGGTTTACATTATTCCGATCATGAAGGTGTAGCTGCAAGCTTTACTATTACAAGATTACGCAATCCTGTCAAACCAGGTATATGTTTCTACTTGATTATCTGTATTTATTCTTATCATATAGTTATGTGATTAGAATTACAATCATCATGATTGTCCGTAGATTGTATTGGTAAATTTGTTGTGTGAACTGAATCAATGTGCACAATATCCCATCAACTAAACTATAATATTCAGCTCACTAATATCTTCATGATATTCATGGATTTTTAGTATGTTGTGACTGCTGGAGTTCAAACATATCGGAAGTTAATCAGTTGTCACTAATGGCCTTGGATGTTTGTTGCGTTTTATCTCAATGTGATTGAAGTTGATATTGTACCATTGGACGTCAAGCTAGCGGTTAGTCGAATGTTCACCACTAGACTTGAAGAATATGGGTTTGATTTCTGATGGTGTCGTGGACGTTCACTACTGAGTTCTATACTGGGATGAAATAGTTGTTTAGTACTTCATGATTTTTAGCAGTACTTAAATTGAGATCAACTTGTGACGAATACAGTTTGCAAACTTAGCCAATCTCTACAAAACCACTTTTAATAACAATAGCCATTTAATTTAATTAGAAGTGAAAACATTCTCCTAGTGCTTGCCATCCATTTGGCACAAAATTTAAAAAGTTATTCATATTAGTGTTCAATTTGACTTTAAGAAATATATAGTAAGCAGTCACTTTGGTTGATGCTGATTGCCCAATGAAATTTAATCAGATACACACTAGATATGCGTTGGTTTTTTTGATGTATGTAATTCAGACGCTGTTAAAAAGAATATAAAGTATAGCATAGGTCTGTTTTTCTTACTTACTTACTTACTAACGCCTGTTACTCCCAACATTCTCCAACCCACTCTGTCCTGGGCCTTCTTTTCTAGTTCCATCCAATTCTTGTTCATTTTTCTCATTTCTATTTCCATTTCCCGGCGTAATGTGTTCTTTGGTCTTCCTCTTTTCCTTTGGCCTTGAGGATTTCGAGTGAGGGCTTGTCTTGTGACGCACTTGGGTGCTTTCCTCAATGTGTGTCCTATCCACTTCCAGCGCTTCTTCTTGATTTCTTCCTCCGCTGGGATCTGGTGTGTTCTCTCTCCCACAGTACATTGTTGCTAATAGTGTCCGGCCAACGGATCCGAAGTATTTTGCGTAGACAACTGTTAATAAACACCTGTATTTTCTGGATGATGGCTTTCGTAGTTCTCCAGGTTTCCGCTCCATACAGTAGAACTGTCTTGACATTTGTATTGAAAATCCTGACCTTGGTGTTGGTTGACATTTGCTTTGAGTGCCAGATGTTCCTCAGTTGTAAATATGCTGCTCTTGCTTTGCCGATCTGCGCCTTCACATCTGCATCAGATCCACCCTGTTCATCAATAATGCTGCCCAAATATGTAAAGGTTTTTACATCTTCCAAATCCTCCCCGTCAATTGTGATTGGGTTGGTGCATGCTGTGTTGTATCGGAGAATCCTGCTTTTCCCTTTGTGTATATTGAGACCTATTGCTGCTGAAGCTGCTGCCACACTGGTCATCTCCTGCATTTGTTGTTGCGTTTGGGACGGAAGGGCCAGATCATGTGCGAAGTCTAGATCGTCCAACTGCATCCTAGATGTCCATTGTGTCCCGTGCTTTCCTTCAGACGTTGACGTCTTCATGATCCAGTCGATCACCAGGAGAAAGAGAAAGGGAGAGAGTAAGCAAATTTGCCTAACACCGGTCTTTACTTCGAACGAATCTGTGACTTGTCCTTCATGCAGGATTTTTCAGTTTAATCCATCATATGAGTTCTGTATGATCTTGACTATCTTCTGAGGCACGCCGTATTGACGAAGAAGCTTCCATAGTGTTGTTCTGTCCATGCTATCAAATGCTTTCTCATAGTCAATGAAGTTGATGTGGAGTGATGAATTCCATTCAATTGATTGTTCCACAATGATCCGTAGAGTTGCGATTTGGTCTGTACACGATCTATCCTTACGGAATCCTGCCTGTTGGTCACGAAGTTGGGCGTCTACGCACTCCTTCATCCTTTTTTTTGGTGGAGTTTTGTTCTCTGAGCTGGATGGTTTGGTCGTGGAGCTTTCATCGTTCTTCTGAACGACATCATCAGCACAAACTTCAGATAGAAGTGAAGTGTTCGAATTTCTCCATATGTGTTTCACAGCTTGTTCTGTGCACCTCGATGTTGATTGGTTCTTGTTGACCTTAAATTTATCATTGTTTACTTCTTTGTTTTGGTTGTGTCTCCCATTGGTTTGATTTTTGTTCCCATATTTATGCATGGTTTTCCTGATTGGTTGATAAATTGGATTGATTTCAATATGTTTGTTGATTGCTGATTGACCTGAGTGCCAGGCTTCTAGAAATTCTCTGGTGTTTTTGGAGTTTCCTCTGTCTAAGATTTCTACATTTTCCCAATCGAATGAGTGTCCGTAGTTATCCACGTGTATTGAAATAAGTGAAGAGATATCATGGCGTTTGACTGCTAATTGATGTTCATGTAGGCGTAGGTGGAGGGGACGTCCGCTTTGTCCGATGTAGTGTTTGTCGCAGTTGGTACAGTTTATTTTGTAGATGATGTTTGATTTGTTCTCCTTTGTTATTTCATCTTTTGGTTTGCATAAGATTGATTGTAGTGATTTTGTTGGTTTGTGTGCCACACCTATCCCGAAGGTTTTCAGCAGTCTCGTTGCAGTTTCTGATATTCCTTGTATGTACGGTAGGGTGATCCTTTTGTTGATTTTTGTGCTTGACTTGGGTTGTGATGCTGTGTGCCGTTGGTGCTTTTTGATGAAGTTGATTGGGTAGCCGTTCTTTTGAAATATGTCCTTCAGGTATTTCTCTTCATTTCTTCGTGCTGCCAGTGTGCTGCAGTGTGTCCTCGCCCTCTTGAACAATGTGTGTACGCAGTTGATTTTGTGAGCCCTTGGGTTGTTGCTGTTGTAGTTGAGAATTTGATCTGTATGGGTTGGTTTCCTATATACTTGAGTTTCCAGTTTTCCTGTATCAGTTCTAGTGATCAATATATCCAAAAATGCTAGTTGGTTGTTTGACTCCTGTTCCATTGTGAACTTGATGTCATTGAAAACGTTGTTGATCAGTTTGTATGTGTTTTCCAGTTCATCCTTTTTGACGATGACGAAGGTGTCGTCTACGTAGCGAATCCAAATTTTTGGCTTGATCACTGGTAATATCGTGGCTTCTAGTCTTTGCATCACTGCTTCTGCGATCAGTCCTGATATTGGTGATCCCATTGGTGTCCCTTTTGTTTGTTTGTAGATTTTGTTGTTGAATTGAAAATATGTTGTTAGGCATAAATCGATGAGCTCCAGTAGACTTTGAATTTGAAGCGTCGTGTATTTGGTGAGATTTGTGTCGTTGTTGAGTAGCAGGGATATAGTTTCTTTTGCTAACTGTGGTTCAATTGAGGTGAACAGTGCAGTTACGTCGAAGGATATCATGAGTTCGTCGTTGTTGATTTGAATGTCCCTAATTTGGTCCAAGAATTGTGTTGGGGATTTGATGGAGTGTTTGGCTGAATCTACTAGATGTCTCAGTATTCGTGAAATTTCTTTTGACAAATTGTACGTTGGCGTTCCGGGGAGTGCTACTATTGGACGTAGTGGAATGTTCGGTTTGTGTATTTTGGGCCTGCCTTAGAATCGAGGGAGTCCTTCATCCTGTTTAACAATACCCTGTTGAAGACTTTTCCCGGTATTGAGAGAAGAGTGATGCCCCCGTAGTTATCACAGTTGCTGAGATCGCCTTTCTTCGGTATTTTGATCAGAAGTCCTTCTTTCCAGTCTGTTGGTACTTCTTCCTCATCCCAAATCTTATTGAAGAGAATGTGGAGTATCCTTGCAGTTGCCGCCACGTCTGCTTTTAGTGCCTCTGCTGGGATGTTGCCTGGTCCTGCTGCTTTGCCCCTCTTGATTTGCCTGATAGCCATGCTGATTTCTTCAATTGTTGGTGGGCCAACATTGATTGGGAGGTCCGTGGGTGCTGCCTCGATATTGGGTGGGTTCAATGGAGGTGGTCTATTCGAGGGTTCTTTGAAGTGTTCTACCCACCTGTTTTGTTGCTCTTCAATGTTGGTGATTACCTCGCCTTCCTTGCTTTTCACTGGTCGTTCTGGTTTGCGGCGATTTCCAGAGAGTTTCTTTGTCGTGTCATACAATTGTCTCATGTTTTTCTTCTCTTGCAGCCTTTTCCACCGTCGTTGCTAAATCTTCCACATATTTACGTTTGTCAGTTCTGATACTTCTCTTCACTTGCTTGTTTACTTCTGTGTATTCAGCTTGTGCCTTGGCTTTTTCTGCTCTTGTTCAGCTGGTATTGATTGTTGCCTTCTTGTTCCTCCTTTCTTGAATCTTATCCAGTGTATCAACAATGATCCATTCCTTGTGATGGTGCTTCTTGCGATCCAGAACCTCATAACATGTTGAAGTGATCGCCTCTTTCATCCCTTTCCAGCTGCTCTCCATTGAGTAGATCATGAACTGCCTGGAATCTATTGCTGAGGACAATCTTGAATTTGTTGAGTTTGTCAGTATCCCGAAGAAAAGCCGTATTTAACTTTTGTGGTGTTGTCTAGTGCTTCTTGAGTTTCAATTTCATCTTGGCGACCAGCAATGATGGTCTGATGCTATATCAGCTCCTCTCTTGGTTTTCACGTCTTCCGTCGTCCTCCTGAACGTTTTGTTGATGCAGATATGGTCAATTTGGTTTTGCGTACTGTGGTTCAGTGAAGTCCATGTGGTTTTGTGTATGCGTTTATGTGGGAATATAGTTCCGCCTATGACCAGTTTATTGAAGGCACATAGGTTTGCAAATCTCTCACCATTTTCGTTCCTTTCTCCCAGTCCGTGTCGTCCCATGATGTCTTTATATCCAGTGTTCTCCGTTCCAACCTTGGCATTGAGATCTCCCATCAGAATGGTCAGGTCCTTTGTTGGGCACTTCTCTGTTTTTCTAGTGACACTTTAATAATCCTCAATTGTAGTTAGTTTAAGAGAGCCATATGTATATAGTTTTCTTCATACCCTTGAAATTTCTGCCATGTGGCGGGACTACTAAATGGACCGCGTGTAATTCAGATTTGTGGTGACTGTTATATGAAAAATAAGTTTATAGTATCGACATTTGCTAATTCTTCACGATTTCTTGGTTAGTTTCATAGAAACCATGGGACTCAGTGACTTGAAACAACAGAGACTACTGAGGAGTCCACTGCAGTTTTTCAATACATCCTTTGTAAATTTTAGGTGAACTTCCCTACCTAAAGAAAATTATCCTGGTTGAGTTGTTTGCTTCACTTGTACATTTTAGTAAACAATGTTTTCATTTATGATATGCGACGTTTCTTTGTTCTATTTCATCATAATATTTACATTCAGCTTTATCAAAATAATTCTATTTTTGACTTGTTGCTCGTGACAATCGGAATTCAGACAAGGCTAGAGTAAAATATTCGCCATTAATGCCATGTATGATCGTTGCACTGAATTGCGAATCGTTTGAAGTGGAAAAGTGCATCAATCGACGCCGGCCTATTAGTTCTAAGGGTTAAGTGTTCATTGCGAAATCTAAAGATCGTGAGTTTGGTGACTGTTGAGGTCACGGCTACTTATTGACAAGAAGCCTTTGATAGCTCATTGATCTGATTCCAATGTTGATAGACGTATGAATATGCTATGAGTATAAATCTTTCATTTAACTCCGTATATTGCCCATGCTAATCCGGCAGTAATAAGAAGCCAAATACAGATTGGACTGGATGAATTCATTTCATGCTCTCGTTTATCCAGACGGACATTCAGAATAGGAGGCGATGAAGAGAAGCGGAGCGGCAAAGGCGAGTGAGTCAACTCGTTTTGATAAAGCGAGACCTAATATTCATAGCCAGACAAAAGTAATCCGAAGACATGTGATGAGTACGGTAAGTACTTCATACACATGCACTAAAAAAAACAAAGTTAGTAAGTAAATAATTAACAACATCAAAATTTGATTCAAGAACGAATAAACTGGTCTATACGGAAGCTCAGTCAGTCAGTAACTTCGTACGTCCGTACATCAGCTCGAGTTGCCATACCACATTAGCACAGAGATGCAGTTGTCGATTCAAATCCCGTAGTGGTAGAGGTAATAAGAGTATAAGCAGTAATCGGAAACATTAGGGTTTGAAGATGTTACTCAAGGAGTATAATCCAGTGAAATAAATTTAGAAAGAGAAAAAAGAAGGGACATGAACAATTCGAAAGATTAGAATTTGGGAGAACACAAAAAGTAGATGCACTTGCGCCATTGCGGACAATTTTGAGCCATGTCATTCAGTGTTCCTAACCATCGGTTGCTATCATCTCGCGATCCCCAACCAGGTAGTCTACACCTACCAACATGACTCAGTCCACTTGTCAGTGACTTCATGGATTTGTGCCATGTTTTGGTCTGGCCGCTCCTAGCTTTCTTCCAACCTACTCCTACACCATAAAACATCGCACGTCGGGGCAGTCGGTGTTCGGGCATACGTAACACATGTCCAAGCCATCTCAAATGATGAAGTTTTACCATCCTTACCTAGTACCCGTTTCCTAACAACTATGTTACTTACTCGGTGGTCCCAGGATATACGGAAGCTAGAATAAAGCATATGAATTTGATATGTTACTAGACAATACAAGTCTATTATGAGGACAAAGCAGCTCTCGATTGCTTTTTGATTGTCAAATGTACCTCAACTGAGAGCAATCTGTGGCGAATACTTTCTACATAAATAAACGAGGTTAGGTGTAAGTTAACAAAACTGTAGACTTTTATTTAATTGATGTGTAAAGCATGTTGTCGAGTAGACTTTAGTATTTAAGATCGGTATAGTGATAACAACGGTCCGTCAATTCATTAGTTGTTGATTTTAAAAATGTATGAAATATGTGTAATTTTGCTGGCGTTTGGAGATTTCATGAATCGATTCATGTCAATGCACTATATTCCAATTCAAAATCCATCACAACTAAAGCAGAGTTTCATTATAGGGTCGTGGACATTGTTGGATTTCATTGAAATGATGAACTGATTTAAGTTAGACCATTATTGAAAACCTGTAAGCATTGGATGGCCATTCTATCCTAGTATGGGACTACTCAGCAGTGCGCATCTACGACCCTGCGGGTAGGACTCCGACCCAGGACTGCGAGCAAAACTAATATCGTTGTAGAATATTATTTGTTATTCACTCAAGGGTTTATACTTTCTTGTGTGTATTAAGTATTTACAATGGAACATTCTTTATTGGTATCTGTAAATCCTGAGCGAATTAGCCTAATATACCCATTTTTACTAAATTTGGATAGTGACACATGTTTCACGCTTTTTCACACAACCTTGTGGCTGTCTAGACCCTATAACTGAATGAATAACACGAGCATTTGAAGCGCAAATTACTGAGTTGGAATAAAAATTTAAGGATCTACACTAGGTCCCTTACGGATGGATCCGGCTGACGAATCCTAAAGAAAGCGAAATTCACATGATAAATTCAATTACTAACCATAATCCGATATTATTGTCTAGTTGTTTTGTTTACAGACAAAATGAATCTACTTTATATTAATAATTATTAAATATATTTAAATATAATGCAGTACTAATTCATCTCCTTTTTTATTCTATAGAGGGTGAAACAATGTCAGCAAATGAATTAAATCGATTACGTGATTTGTTATTAGATATAGATCAACAATTAACTCGTGGTTTAAATCAATGTATACATGGTCGTTTATTGCATTTAATATGGGCGATATTTATAACAATTTTATTAATCATCTTAATATTAATATACCCAACTGATAGATTAACATCAATTATAAAATGTTTATTTGAAATATTACTTGGTATTATATTATTCACATTAATTTGGGGTTCATTAATTGGTAGAACTATAGAAAAATCCGGTTTAAAAAATGCTAAACATTCAATTTCAACATTATCTTCAAGATTAGATAGTTCAAATGATTTTACATTAATTAAATAATAATTTGTCTTTTTTTCTTTTTTTGTATTCCTACCCAATAATTTTTTTCTTTTCTGTCTTTGTTTTCTTTTTCTTCCAAAATAAATTTTGAATAAAATATGTTTAAAAGAAGAAATATATACCATCGAGTTTTCATTTCTTTTTAATTAATCAATTCATTTAGATTGTAATGATGATATCAGGATTGATCTCTCTCTGTGTGTGTCTCACACACTCACACGTTCCCCTTTTAATTACAAGCAATTAACGGAAATAATAACAATTACTCATAATTGTTATATTTAGCAACGACAAAATGATTGTATTTGACACTGATGTTTGTGTATTTTAATTTTCTTTAATATTTAACATATATGTGTATGTTCAATATACCTATATATATATAATTTGAATTAATGTTATCATCGTTGTGGCTTTCTTTTGTCTCTTGTTTTTATATTGTACATGTATACAGAATTATGTCTAATTTGAAAAAAATTATTTACAAATATTTCTTTTTTTAATGAACTACTTAATATCTCGGTGAGTTACTATCTCACAACAGACTCGGTTGAACTCCACTGGTCACTACTTCTCACTAGAACTTGAGGAAATACCTCATGAAGTCAGTGGATGCGCACTGCTGAGGAGTCCCAAGATAGGATGAAATGGCCGTCCAGTGCTTCCAGGTTTTTCATGGTAGTCTAGCTTCAACTGACTCATGATATTAACCATTGAAATTACTACAATCTCCACAAAACCCATCTGATATTAACCAACATATGCTCACTAGTGATTGGCTTCACGAGGTATATCCTGGAGTTCTAGTGAGAAGTAGTGACCAGTGGAGTTCAAGCAGGTCTGTTGTGAGATAGTAACTCACTGACGACAATTGTGAATGTGTTGCTCAATTTCATGGATTAGTTGGAGTGAGACATTGACACCGTTGGATGCCGGCTCAGTGGTCTAGTAGTTAAGTGCTCGCGTGCGAGACCAGTAGGTCCTGGGTTCGAATCTCTCAGGGGCGAGATCGTGGATGCGCACTGCTGTGGAGTCCCACGGTGGAATAAAACGGCCGTTCAGTGCTTTTAGGTTTTCCATGGTGGTCTCGCTTCAACTGACTCATGATCTTAACCATTGAAATATTTATTCCTTTTTTAATGAACTACTTAATATCTCTATATCTTTCTTCTTATTTCATAAAAAAATGTAGTTATAATCCATTTGACGAAAACAATAAATAAATTATGAATAATTTCATCTCATAAAATTTTTTTGATTTTTTGTTCCCCCTCTTATTTCATTAAATGGTTAACAATAAGAGTAACTATGTTTACTTACTATTATTATTTTAAAAAGGAACAAATAATGAAATAATTTATATTTTTATGTAGAAGAAATGCATATATATTTTTTAATCACCCAATTTATGAGTGTTCGATTAAGTAAACGAAATGACATAAACAGTTTAGGATTTAGCATATATAATTTGTAATTATGTATTTTGAACCATATCACGTAACATTTTAAAACAAAGTTTACAATAGGTATCATTACCAAGGTTTGATTTGATAATTTTGAATAAATTGAGGATTGGGTAGATTGTTATAAATAATTTTAATTTGGTTATTTAATCTCTGAAGATGTGGCTTACACTAAGTCACGAAACATCAGAAAATCTAATTTTTCTACTCACTGGAATATTACAAATATTTATTTTAAAGTTTACAATACTCTCTGTAAAGTAAGTTGGAAACTGCAACTATTTGCATGGTTCAGAGTAGCAAGTCAGTTATTTTCTTGATTGATGTTGTGATTTGACTGTCTCTAGAATTATGGGATCTTTATGCTGAGAAACTCAACATTTTATTGTTTTATGAGTCTGATACTATACTTTTAAGAATATTCACCGGACGGTTGTACACATTTTGTTATGTGTAATTTCTTTATTTTTCCTGGTTTTCTTGATAAAAATATCTCCACCATTATCAGAATGGGTTTTGTGGAGAGTTTTAGAAATTTCACAAGTTCAAATCATGAGTCAGTTGAAGCTAGACCACCATTGAAAACCTGGAAGCACTGGACGGCCGTTTCGTCCTGGTATGGGGCTCCTCAGCAGTGCGCATCCACGATCCCGCACCACGCGGGGCTCGAACCCAGGACCTACTGGCTTCGCGCGCGAGCACTTAACCACTAGACCACTGAGCCGGCATCCAACGGTGTTAATGTCTAACTTCAACCAATCCACGAAGTTGCGCCACCGTACACCATTGTCTTCAGTGAGTTGTTATCTCACAACAGACCGGTTGAACTCCACTGGTAACGGCTTCTCACTAGAACTTCAGGAGTTTTTCCTGAAGTCAGTCACTAGTGAGCATATGTTGATTATTATCAGAGGAGTCCCATACCAGGACGAAACGGCCGTCCAGTGCTTCCAGGTTTTCAATAGTGGTCTAGCTTCAACTGACTCATGATTTCAACTTGTGAAATCTCCACCATTCCTCATATCATGATGTTACTGGGTGAGAATTTTCAGTAGCACAATATTTTTATCCTAGGTGTTAAGTTGCTTGTGCTTGTGTCCCTTCACATAAACATAGATGTATCAATCAAACTAACATATAACACCTATCTTCTACAAACCAAGAGGTTTTTTTACTTAAAGCAGATAATTGAAACAGGGGAGATAAATAATAAGGGAAATAAATCATTCATTATCGTTAAATTTAAAATAATAAAAGTAACTGAGAACAGTCCAATATTATAAGCAGAAAATTTTGCAGTTACAAGATGAATTGATTAATGGGGCGAAAAAGGTAGTTGAAATTGATGTAAAGTTGAAAATAAGTCGAACATCATGCAAGGTTCCCTTTTTAACGATGTTCAGTAATTCGTACATGTATAACGTAGAATCAATTACCCCGACCGAAGCTGCTACCTTGACGCGGTGGTCGGGCTTGCCTATTGTGATGACCCAACCGAGATATATTGGCTGGAACATATGTTCCTGTAGGTTCTACCATGCCAGGCAGGTCGATTGGTGAACGGTAAGACTAAAAGCAGCAACTCAAGGTCTGAGGGCGAAGTCGTACTACTGACTGTAGAGGGGTGTGACAGCAGTAAGGTGTTTCCTTCGGACAACCAGCATGACAGCGATGCTGCCTTCCCACAAGGAGGGGTGGGGTTAGAAAACGTCGACCCTAAAAATGTCATACCTCACCTTACCTCACGGATTTCAGTCTCCGGTGGTAAGGCCCTTTGAAGAACGGAGCTAACACATTAAAAACCTTCCACGAAAAGGCCGTGCGCGACTGGCCTCAAGCAGTTGTCTCTTGGGCTCTGCGGTCACGCTTCCAGGTCGTTAAGACCAACACTAATCCAATTTCCTTTTCAGGTTCCTCAAGAAATACCCTTCCACGATGTGGTCAGCCGGGAAGTGACATCAGCCCTCATACCCGTAACAGCACACGAGACCAAGGTGGTCACATTCAAATCCTTCCTACACCTCCTAATACCTCTCTTATCTCCATGACTAACCCTCCTCACGTCTGTCTATCACCTCGCACCGCTAGGGCAAACGATTTGAGTACGTGGAACGTTATTCCTGGTCTCCTGAAACCACGCTCTAAACTACAAGTAGGAGCTTTTAACGTCCAAACACTGTGCCAAATAGGACAGCAGGCTTCCTTAGCTATGACCTTGAAATCTCGTGCCATCGATATGTGCTGCGTCTCCGAAACGCGCATACAGGATCCGAGTAGCGTCATTCATTTGACCTCAACATGCCAAGATAAAGAACCGACTCGATTTACGCTTCGTGTATCTGGAAGCCCTGATTCTGCTTCCCGTGGCCTCGCCGGCGTAAGTATAGCATTAAGTCCTAGGGCAGAACTAGCTCTCTTAGAGTAGATCCCAGTGAACAGTCATTTGTGCGCTATCCGACTAAACGGAACAGTAAGGATCCGAAAAGATAGGGACACTCGTCGTTGCCTCTTCGTCGTCTCTGCCTATTCTCAGACTGACTGCAGCTCAGATGATGTAAAAGATGAGTTTTACAGAAAGCTCTCCGACCTTCTCCGAAAAGCTAAGCGCTCGGATGTAGTAATAATGGCCGGTGACTTTAATCCTCAAGTAGGTAAACTAAGCGATAGGGAAAGACACCTAAGTGGATCTTATGGTGTCGTGGCTCAAAGAACAGATAATGGCGACCGTCTGTTGTAGCTATGCTCAGATAACCGCTTGCTCCTTGCAAACACTAACTTTAAGCATAAGGAAAAACATCTTTTAACATGGCGACTGAGAATCAGTTACATTGCTTTAAAATAAAGACTCGTGGCTGCTAGAACGTTTACCATAAGGAAATAGGGAATCTATATTTCAACTGCTTGGTGCCATTGGTTAGCTAAATCATTGGGTTTCTGTTCGACTTAGATAAACGATTTGTATTACATAGGTTTCTTGAATTAGTTGACCGTTGAAAAATTTCATCTCTGGTATTTCATGCCAAAGGTGTCTACCGGTAGATATCAGTCCGAATAATCCAGTTAAAACAAGGTGAATACTAATCTTTGACATTTGTATCCTGTAAGAAGTTCTATTATGTCCTTGTAATTATGATTCGTATAAAGTTTTACTCATCTTTTCGGCATTGAATATACATACAACTAGTACTAATCATTTTATTTATTGAAAAATCTTTCAGGATTCTAATATTGTGATCTCGGCGACCTTGATTGATCTGATTTAAAAAACTAGTTAGCAAAATTAGAATTTTAGATTAATCATAGTTTTATTTACTACTCACTGATTATGTAAATCAAACTAATATACCATTATTATCAGAATGGGTTTTGTGGAGAATTTTAGAATTTTCACAGTTTTTTGAAATCATGAGTCAGTTGAAGCTAGACCACCATTGAAAACCTGGAAGCACTGGACGGCCGTTTCGTCCTGGTATGGGACTCCTCAGCAGTGCGCATCCACGATCCCGCACCACGCGGGGCTCGAACCCAGGACCTACTGGCTTCGCGCGCGAGCACTTAACCACTAGACCACTGAGCCGGCATCCAACGGTGTTAATGTCTAACTTCAACCAATCCACGAAGTTGCGCCACCGTACACCATTGTCTTCAGTGAGTTGTTATCTCACAACAGACCGGTTGAACTCCACTGGTAACGGCTTCTCACTAGAACTTCAGGAGTTTTTCCTGAAGTCAGTCACTAGTGAGCAGTTGATTATTATTATCAGAATGGGTTTTGTGGAGAATTTTAGAATTTTCACAGTTTTTTGTAATCATGAGTCAGTGCGGGATCGTGGATGCGCACTGCTGAGGAGTCCCATACCAGGACGAAACGGCCGTCCAGTGCTTCCAGGTTTTCAATGGTGGTCTAGCTTCAACTGACTCATGATTTCAAAAAACTGTAATATACCATTGACAAAAAAACTATTGCAATAAATGTAATTCATTTTCTGCATCAATTTACTTAAGAATTGAAATAAAACTTAACGAATAAAACATTAATAATCTAGAACCATATGATTTTATTTTGTTCGATGAAATCAATCATATTAACAACAACAACAGCAACAAAACTTAGTTGTTTGTTCACTTATAAAACAACACACAAAATGTAAAACTAATTAATCAATCCCATTTTGTTTATGAATAATACATGAGTCTTGTTTAATAATAATAATAATAATAATAATTAAAACAAGGTCTCTTTTTGAAATTCAACAATAAAATCAATTTCATCTTATTTATTTATTTATTATCAATGATCATGTAAATTTATAAAGAATTATTTTATAATTCGTCTTACCTGAAGAAAATGAGATTTAGATTATGTTATCAAACCACTAAATACTGATCATATATATGTAAAAGAAAACTGACGAAACTTCAGGGTCGTTGAAAAATTAAAAAAAATTAATCATTTAAAAAAAATTAACAAAAAGAATTTTTATAATTTAATTAACAAATTTAATAAATAAATGATACATTTAAGAAAGACAGAAATGGAAATATCAAATAAATACTGATTTTGTATAGATTGATTTGTAATAAGTAAATTAAAATATTGTTACCAAAGAATACATTACGTCGGGAAATCGAATCAGATATGAGAAAGATGAAATAACAGTTGGAAAGGATTGCCGAGGACAAGGTTGGATGGAGTGTGCTGGTATGCAGCCTGTGCTCTTCTACGAGAAGTAACAGGCGTAAGTAAGTACTTTTGTCAATTTTATTTAAGGGGATATTTAGGAATTTTTAAAAAGAATGTATTAGAGAAACAAAACCATGTAAAATGAATAAATGAAATATCAGAGTATTAAAGATTAAAACATAAAACAGAATATATAAATAAATGAAACTAAAAATTAATTTAATCCAATTTATAGTTTCATTATTATTTTGTGTTTAACATAATACTGTGAAATTATTTGTTATACCAGAAAACTGTTTTTTCTCACCAAATATATTTTTAGATGTACCATAATGTTTTATTCTATAAATACCAGGAATACATATACCATCAATTGAACTAATTGTCCATTCTATAATAGCATAACTTCGACCAAGTAACCATGATAAAAATCCGTCTCGATTCCAAATAAATCTGAAAAGAATAATATTTTAGAAATAATAAAAAATTTTTTGGATAAATTTATTAAGATATAAGAAACTGGTTGAATAGAACTTAAAATAAATAGAAGTTTGTCAAAACTATAATATTAAAATAGCTCTTTGAATAGAAATAACATGAGCTTAAAATATTTAGTCTTTTATTAAAGAACACAAATAGAGACAATCGAATGTATTTGACATGAAATTACATAGTATCTCAATCAAATCTGAGAATCATATAGTAAATAGTTAATTTGCAAAATATCAATTCATAGTCTCAAATTTGACTGCCTTTTGCAAATATCAGTTCATTGTCTCAGATTTCATTGTTCATGCATTTTCATACAAATTGAGTTCCGTTTCCATTCTTTCCTTATCGACCTTCTGCTGAAATATATTCCATTTTTGACTACCGTTATATACTACTTATATGGATTTATGTAACCCGCACCACACCGTGACAAAGATATTAAGGAGTTTAGGATAACCTCTTTAATATAATTCATGATACATCTTATATTGTTGGTATTTTTAAATAATAAACCACCAAAAAATCTATCGAAAATCATATTAATTTAATGATAGTTACTTTGTTCGACTGAGTATAATTTTATTATCATCATAAATGTTTTACACAGAAGTTGGATTGTCTTATTTAAAAGTAAGTTAACCTTCCATCAAGAAAGTATCATCGAAAATATATTGCCTCTGTTCAACTACATTTTTATGAATTTCGTAATTTGGACGTTATGTCCAAAATACAAAAAAAAGCTTTAAAAGAAAAGACATTATTGTGTTTCAGAGAATAATCTACGTACACATACACATATGCAAACAAGTTGATAGAATTATTTGAAGTGTATTCAATTTCTAAAAAAGCACCAACAAATCTTCTAACTGAACTTTTGATTCGGTTTCTGTTATAACTTATGGGTTTGAGACCCTATCAACATATAACGTAATGATACTGCCAATTAAAAAACAGTGATTTATCGACCGGACCAATGACGCATAAACCAAGTACGAGCAGTCTAGAGTCTTTATCGGTCCTGCTTCCTGCCTAGCCCTGTCTATTAAATTCAGAACACCAATATCAGCCTCTGCAATATGAATCATGTATTACAAGCATACTGGGTTTATATACCAACCAGACAAACCACATCGTACCATAAAATAGTAAATAACATTTGTACAAGATTTAGCCAGATATAGCTGTGCATGTGGGAAATAGTAATCGATAGACAGGGCAGAACTCAAGAATGGTAAATCGTATAATAAAAGTTCATAGGTCAAAATAAAGCTTATAACAAAAGGAACAGGAATATAAAAAGTTTAGTTACTTAACAGTTATACAATAAAAAATATGTATAATATTAGATCATAAATAGATCTCAACAGTTACCACTCATTATTCTCATCTGGATATAACAGTTTATTTCAGGTAATAATGACATTTTACTATTTAATTTGTTATATACTATAATCATTTTGTAACTTATCGATTTACATAATTTTTCTATTTATTTTTATTAATTATCACATATTAAAATAATTAATTAATAATTTCAATGGTTAGAATCATGAGTCAATTGAAGCTAGACCACTGAGCTGGCATCCAACGGTGTTAGTATCTAACTTCAACTAATCCACGAAATTGAGCAACACATCCACAATTGTCCTCAGTGAGTTACTATCTCATAACTGACCCAGTTGAACTTCACTGGTCACGGGTCGGGGATGCGCAGTGCTGAGGAGTCCCACAATAGGACGTAACGGCTGTCGAGTGCTTCCAAGTTTTCCATGGTGGTCTAGATTCAATTGACTCATGATCTCAACAATTGAAATAAATAAATAATACGAGAAAGTAATACATGAAAATGGGAGATAAATATTATACTTAATTCATTTACTTTCATTATTGAATTATGGTTATCGATTAAATCTGACCTATAAATTCAATATTCCAATATTAATAGATAATATGAAATAATACAAAATATTGTGATACAAAGCAATACATCAGTTTGAAATACTCAATAAAACACTGATGATATTGTATGAATAATGCAATTGATATAAACCATTTAATTTACTTATTGTATAAATTATATTTTCTATTCTGTTGTAAAATCGATAAGAATAACTTTTGTTTTATCAAGATTGATTTTAATTGTTTGTTTGTTTTGATGTTGGCGTTTAGGCAGATTAAATGAATCTTACTTTTGAGTATATTGTGATATGAAATCATGCAATCATTAAATATTACTATTAACCGCGTTGGTGATTTAGCTGTACATTCTATAATAGTAATTATTGGTTGAATATCCTTGAATATCTTTAGATAGAGGCTAGAAGTGAAATTCAGGACGCGCATTTCGTCATATTCAGAACTCATCAGTTTGGTGTACCTGCATCTCAGAGTTGATGTTCAGTCTGGGAGTCAAACCCGATACCGATCGCTTCAAACATGATGGCGTTACCCACTTAGCTTTAGAGTCCTGATAATCAACTACTTGTGCAATGGCATGAACTTTTAAAATTACGTGGTGTTGTTTACTTGTATCTTCTCAACAAGTGAATTTAAAATTTGACCCCATCACTCAAGTAGGTAGCTATAAGGACTCAGTAGCTAAGTAGACAACACAATGGGGTTTGAACCCAATGGTATTGGGTTCGAGTCCCAAAGTGAACGTCAGTCCTGAGATGTAGGTACATCCAACTGACGAGTTCCGAATATGTCAAAACGCGCGTCCTGGATTCCACTGTTAACCACCATCGATATTTGCTCATAAAACTTGTGACCTAAGACAATATCGAGGCAGTCCACATATGATGCACATATGCTAACAGGAAACTGATTAATTGCAATCCTAAATAACAATGGTAAGATACAAGTAAACAACAACAAGTGAATTTATTCCTTTTTTTAATCATATTAAGTATGTATAGGTTTTTTACTACTAGTAATATTACTGTTAGTGAAATTTCCGTGCTATTTATATCTGTAATTAAATTTCATTGTGTTCATGTGGTGGTACTATGCAATTATATTTTTACGAGGCTTTATTATGATTATTAATGACAAAGATTTCCATACTGTGTTTATTTTTTTACAGTTGATGTATATAAATTTTTTACATCCTATAATGATGGCGAAAGTTTAAATAAATCCGTGGTTGATATTGCACATTGAATTCCGATAAGTTTTATTGGTAGATATACACATTTTAAGAATCAACTTAAGACAACTATGTCGCCACAACTACATGCATACAGCCGACAAACCTTAAATAGAATAAAACACGTGCTCCGAATTCTATCGTAATCATTGCTTACTTTTTCTAAATAACTTATGTTTTCAGTTATACTTTATCAATTAAAAAAGTAAAACATGTCTCGATAAATCAGAACACAACTATACACCTTAACTGTTTGTTTACTGAATAAAATCTAAAGTTAAATTTTATCCAGATCAGTACCTAAGTTGATATGTCGTCATTCTCACTAATCGATTGAGTAATTACTCACCATATCATGGTTGAATTGATGAAGAAAGTACAACAGGCTGTCTGTTTGATGTAGTGAGAAATATAACCCACACCCCTTTTCCACACAATACACTCTAAGCGATGCTATAGATGAAAAGATATTCAACGCAATATATTCTGGAAGCACTGAACAGCCGTTTCGTCCTATTGTGGGACTCCTCAGCAGTGCGCACCCACGATCCCACTCGCGAGATCCGAACCCAGGGCCTTCGGTCTCGCGTGCGAACGCTTAACCAACTAGACCACTGAGCCGGCATCTAATGGTGATAGTGTCTAACATCAATGAATCCACGAAATTGCGCGACCAACGTCCATTGTACTGAAGTAGACATCTGTTTCTACTCGACACGGATTAGCTCCACTGATCACGGCTTCTCACTAGAACTCCGAGAATTCCCTCACATCAATCGGTTCATGATCTCAATCAAAAACTTAATAATCTCCACAACCCCTATACTAGTAATCAACATGTGCTCACTAGTGACTAGCTTCGTGAGGGAATTCTCGGAGTTCTAGTGAGAAGCCGTGATCAGTGGAGCTAATCCGTGTCGAGTAGAAACAGATGTCTACTTCAGTACAATGGACGTTGGTCGCGCAATTTCGTGGATTCATTGATGTTAGACACTATCACCATTAGATGCCGGCTCAGTGGTCTAGTTGGTTAAGCGTTCGCACGCGAGAGCGAAGGCCCTGGGTTCGGATCCCGCGAGTGGGATCGTGGGTGCGCACTGCTGAGGAGTCCCACAATAGGACGAGACGGCCGTCCAGTGCTTCCAGGTTTCCAAAGGTGGTCTAACATCAATTGGTTCATGATCTCAATCAAAAACTTAATAATCTCCACAATCCCTATACTAGCAATAAATTCTATCAGAATGAGGGTTTATAGAGATTGTAGTCATTTTATTAATTGAATTCATGAGTTGATTTAAGCTAGACCACCCATGAAGCAGGGGACAGCCGTTTCATCCTAGTGCGGGACTCCTCAGAAGTTCACATCAACGATCCTACACACAGGATTCGAATCCAGGATATTCGTTCCCGTGTACGAACGCTTCACCTCTATATCACATAGCTGTCATCCAACGGTGTTAATGTCTAAATTCAACTGATCCACGATGTAATTCAGTCTAGGATTTCTTCAGTTACACTTTACTTATAAAATATTAGAAGTATTTTAACTGCGTAAACAATTCAAAGATCGAAGTATCAATTGTTCGCATTACTAAATCGACGTAATAGTTAGTGTAGGTATCAATACCAAGGTTGGATTTCATATTTTCTAACAAATTGAGCTGTGAGTAGAGAGTTAATAACAAATATATTTTTTCTTATATCTCAATGAGTGGAAACAGGAGAAATATATTCATTAGTAGTAGTTGGTAGTTATTGTTGCAGTAATAATAGTAATTGTAAAATGACTATAATACAACTTGGGATAACTTAA